AGAATCTGAAACAAACAGCAAAAAGCTAAATAAGATTTTGATCTTAGAAAGTTATAAATGGACTAAGGGTCCAGATAAGATTGGGATATTGAATTTTTTACAAAAAGATTTTGAAATTAATTATAAAGTGCAAACAGCTTCTTGTGGGAAGTAGATCCTGTTTGGGTTTCTCTTTTCTTTCTTTAAGTTTAGTTTTATTAGATTTTACTATTATAATCAAAATGCTTAATAACAGGTATGTCCATCTGCCTGGAAAAGTAGACAAAAGTCATCTGAGTGTGGCAAAGAGCATGCTGAGGGGCTGGAGGGAGTAGCAAGAACAACCTCACCAGTTTTTCTTGGGTGGTATGTCACCCATTTGCCATTATACAGTATATCTCTCTGGGATACAGCCAAGCCTCTCGATAGTGGCCATTCTATGTCAGTTTCCACAGTATGTGGTCAAAGCTCCAACTGTGCCCATTGACTCAGAAAGATTGGGTGCCCCTGGACAAAAGCAGAGCTTCGTTTGGATCTGACTCACTGTAGCTGGGGGGTGGGGGGGAGGTGTTTCAGCTGGACAGGTACTGGTTTTCACCAAAAGGCATGATTATATCTTGTGCATTACTTGTATTCTAAGCCTAGCAAACAAACCAGCGAATTACCCCACTCTTCTCCTTCATGGTTGATTTGTGGAGATACGGTTTCACTTCCTGACTTTGCCTCATTTCTGTCTCTCAGTATTCTTGAGAGTATCCTGTTTACATGGATATCACAGATGAGCCATATTCCTATGCATATTGATCGAGATACAAACAAGGACTGGTTCTCTACGCAGGTAAGAAAGAACCCACAGATAAAATTGATGGCTGGGCACGATTAAACTCTAACTGCTTTGTGTAGTTTTGCTATATGTGCGGTAATTCAAAGATCCATAAGTACCTAATTACCACAGCATCAAACTATAATTTGCATGTGTGAAAGGTGAATTTGTTTTTGAATGTTTTTTACCCATTATTCTTTTGACAGTGCTTTTCCTATTATTTCCCTAATGGAAAGGTCTGGACTGTGTTTAGAAATACCGTGCCCTTTCTTAGAGAGTATGATTGTCCTTGCTTTTGTTTGGATTGTATAAAAATGGAAATGAGATGAGCAGAACAAGTATCCTTTGGCCTCATTTTAAGATAATAGCACTAGCTGAAAGAGAAGCTGGCCAGTGGAGAAATCATTTCTCTCTTTTCCATTCCCAGCATCATGTTTTCACCAGGATCAGCATATTCTTTTTAGAAAAGGAGGCCTGTGTGTTCCAGTCTTACCAGATGACATGGTCCAGTCTCAAATATGTAGGGAGAAAATTTGAAAGTAACTGTTGAAAAGAAATGTTTTCCAAAATGAAAAATAAACATATTTCTGGAATTCCATTTTAATTCATGTTTTCAGAACTGTACAATGGTGAATATCAGATTTGATACTGAATGAATATTTAAACTATATTATTAAGGTAATATAATTCAAGTTTTCCAAAATGCATTTTTTTTCCTGAACATACAAATTATATACCCATACATACATACATACATACATTCAAGCATACTGTACGTGAATATAAATCGTGGGCATTTGCTTGAAAATTGTTCTTCCATCATTCGCGGTATGTCCAGACTAAAACACCTCTTTCTCTCTTCTCCCAGCTTCAGGCGACATGCAATGTGAATCAGTCTTTTTTCAACGACTGGGTAACAGGGCACCTGAATTTTCAAATTGAGCATCAGTGAGTACAGCTTTAGGGCAGTAAGAAATGTTCTAAGGCATCAGTGAGAAACTGTTCCATAGTTCGGATAAGAGAAAAAGATAGTAGAGGGATCACAGCTTCTTTGCCTTTCTTTCTGCCTATAGTCTCTTCCCTACGATGCCTCGACACAACTTTCGGAAGGTGGCTCCTTTGGTGAAGGCCATGTGTGCCAAGCATGGTGTTGAATACCAGTCAAAACCTCTCTTCACTGGCTTTGCTGACGTTGTGCAGTAAGTACCAGACTGCAAAGAGTACCAGGTCAGAAGAGGAGCTGGGGATCTAGGAGGCATCCAATATATAAAGATTGGATATCACAGATGAGCCAAACAGCAATCAAATTAAGAATCTAAAAAGTTTTGCTCTTAAGGGTATGGGAAAGGAGAACATGAGAAGTTACAGACATATTTCTGAGGGTGAAAACAGCAATTGAACACTCAGTCCATTGGGTAGAGGCTTCAAAAGGGACCTGTATGTAAAGAATCATGCTATTAATGAGGACAAAGATTTTGGATGTAGATCCTTTAAGAAATAACCAAGCTAGTAGCAGAAAGAGAGAGATGCCAGTCATTGAGCATGTGCTCTATCACATTTTTCTTTCATAAAATTAGTTATTACTAGAGAATTAGTCATTAAAGAAGATAATAAACAGGGTCTAAGTTGGTAGTATTGGGATAGGAGCCTCCTGAAGATAGGTAGACTCTGCCCTCCACCACCTTGCAATTTGGGGGCTTGGATAAAGTGCTGCTTTATGATAATGTTGTGGGTCTATAAAGCAGCAATGCAAGCTAGAGATTACTCTCAAGAAATGTGAAACGCCTAAAAGGAGAAATAGCAACCACTCAGAAACCTTTGTGTGGCTCCCTTCCTTCCTTCCTTCCTTCCTTCCTTCCTTCCTTCCTTCCTTCCTTCCTTCCTTCCTTCCTTCCTTCCTTCCGTTTGATTAAATCAATTTATATAGCCGCCCATCTCACCACAGGCGACTCTGGGCAGCATACAACAAAGCTAAAAACAGTTACTGTTTTTACTAACATGTACTGCACTTGCTCTGAATTCACTCCTCTGCTTGAATCAGATGCATGTCTCCTTCTGAGTAGGACTTAAGCCTCAGCAATGAAGCAGGATCTTATTTTCTGTTCTTTTCAGTTCCTTGAAGGTTGCGGGTGAAATATGGTACAAAGCGTATCATCACAAACAGGAAGTACAAAATGCTAAAATCTGCCTTCAATGAGAGAAGAAGGGCGAAGAAGCACGATGGACCTGAGACGGACCTGGCGTAGGCTTATGGTGACGGAAACCTAAAGTGATTTATGTATGAAACAGAATGCTGCAGAGACTTTGGGCCTCAGCTCGACGTTTTGCATGTTTCCTAATGAGTATAAGCATTGGAAGCAGCACATTTTTTCTTTTCTGCTTCTGGGTCTTGGATGCATCATAAATAAAGATGTAGGAACGTTTCACAAAAGCTGGGTTTATGAGAGCGCAGAGGGAGTGGCGTTTTTCAGCATTTGCAGCATGCCAACACGCCAGCTCTGCTTCACAGCCGTCATCACGATACAGCCAGGGGCGTGCCCAGCAGCAGATGCCAGGTATCCTCCTGGCGTGTAAGGCTCATTATACACATAAGCTTGTTTGCGGGCTTTTTAAGAAAAAGAACGCCCAGCCAGAACTAGAAAAAAATGGTAGATTGGAAGTAAGAAAAGAAAAGAAAACAGTTAAGAAAAACCTAAAATCAAGCGAATCCCAAAAGTAGCGGCAGGGTGGATTAAGAGTAAATCACTAAGAGACCAAACAGAGACAGAGAATTTGTATTTTGTGTATCCATCCGAAACACTTTTTTGAAATTAAACAATAGTTATTAAAATGGACAACAGGGAACAGTTAAAAGCACAATCCTATGCAGTTATGCAAAAGTAGCACTATACAATGAAGCTTGCTCATAGATAAGATTGCAATTCCTAATTATATTTCCTGGGATAAACTTCCCCAACTTTCAGAGATAGTAGATTCCTGCTCCCATAATCTCATTCTTTGGCCCTGCTCTGTGTTAACTGTAGGAGTTAAAATCCCAAACTTCTGATGGGCACAGTACTGCAGAAGGTAGCTCAGAGAATAATGACAGTTGAATTTGATGGGGTTTATTTCTGACTAAATAGGGTCTGGAGTGCGTTTCATATATAGCATTATTAACACCCCTGTTTAGTTCTCCTTAAAACACTCTTACGTTATTCATAGT